GGGTGCATCCTTGGGTACCAAAAGCAAAAAATACACCTCACCTAAAATTAATTTCTTTAAATTAAATGCTCACCCTTAGCACCACCCTATGTTTTGAGCAATAAACAAGTTAGTTTGAATCTCTCTCTCTCTCTCTCTCTCTCTCTCTCTCTCTCTCTCTCTCTCTCCTGAGAGAGAGAGAGAATTTAAATCCACAATAGTTGCATATGTTGTGTACCAGGCATGGTATTACAGAATTGCTTCTGCGCTACAATCAGCATTAAATTTCTCACTAAACAAGAGTGTCCTTCTGCCTGACACTTAAGGCCATGCGTGTGTAGTCCAGTGTATCAGCAGTTTGATTAGTGCCCTTCCCAGATCTTTCTTCCTTTTTACCACTGCCCAGGCCTTTTCAAATCTTACTGATTCTTCATAGCCTGATTCCATTTCTGCTCTGCCTCTTTGAAGTTTCCTTGACCTCCTCAGAACAGAATGTCTATTTCCTCCTTTGAGCAGGAAACCCTTGCTATCTGAGTATACGGGCACTTAGCCAATGTCTAGGGCCATCTCGAGTGGTGCTGGTGTATATTGCTATCTGGCTTTTTGTGTGAGCACAACCTGCTCCTCAGATTGATTTTGGTTTCTTTTTATAGAACAAGTACAACGATGTTATACATCTCATAGTGGAAATTCATCGAAATTTCTGGCTGTCCTCCTGCATCCAAGTGATGATTCCCTATAGGGTGAATGCAAGTGTATGTGGAAGAACTGAGATGTGGGTGTGAACCTGACAGAAATAAAGCTCAGTTTTGCTGATATTTTCCAGGTCCTGGAAAAGTGGGTACACTCTCATGCGCCACTTCACTTTCAGGGCCCAAATCATGTTCTCTTAACACCTACTGCAAGTGGTAGCACACTCTCCTGCTGCTGATTTTTTTTTTCATTTTTCCTCTCTTCTTGTCTCTTCCACTTATTAAATAACAATTCATTTCCTTATCGGGCATTGTATTTGCTTGGTGCATAGGTTGTAGTCATGGGGGGGACAGTTAGATGCCTTCTTCACAGGTGTGAAGTGGCTTCCTTGGAAGGGTGCTGTACTAAGTCCTTCTTGTGATTAGTCTTCCTTAGGGTCTGAGCTGAGCTCAGCAGAGGTGTAGACATGTACCCTTGCGTAATATCTGGGACAGTGGGAATACACTACATGAAAATAACAGCCACCCAAACCAAAAGGGAATTGGAGATGAAGATATGCTGGCTTGTGGAAGCTAGCCACAGGAAGGCAGTCAGCCCCCAGGTACTGTGCAGAACCTGGAGCTCAAATGCCAACAGGACCTTGTGTCTCTGGCTTTCACTGAACTGTCCAGGTCTGTTTTATTCTCTCTTGGGGTAGCCTCTGCTTTTTCCAACTTACCATGATGTCTAGGGGCCACCGTTTGAAAGGTGTGAAATCTTTGAGTCCAAATATCCATAGAAATGCTCTCTTCTGACCAATGCACCCAAAGGAGGACTTCAATGGCTATGTTGGATCACTCCTTGGATCAATAAAGTGTGGTCAAATATGGAATGATAATTCACTGTATTGGGTTTTGGCAGTAACCATTTGGAATGAAGATGCTAGAAGGGGCATTTGCTTGAGGGAGGCATGCTAGACTGAAAGCCCCAAAGGCTTGCTGTTCAAACATGGGCACAGACTTTATAAGCCTTTCTCCCTATCTTATCTCTTGTGACTTTCATGACAAGTCCGGGGCAAGACAGGCACTACTGCTACACAGCTTACAGAGGAGGACAATGATATGCTCTTAGAAACTAAGCAACTTGTGCAAGAATCCCAGATAAATACTAACACCTCTTTCAATGGCTCAGTGAAATCCATCTTTCAAAATATTGCTGCATTTCCACTGCTGTGTCCCAGATTGTCTTCTGCTTTTCTATTATTTGGGCTTTTCTAGAAAGAAGGTTTCAGGGAGGCATAGTTTGAGGGAAGCAGGAATAAGGGACAAGGTGAATGAGATAGACAAAGAGAGAGAGGAAACACAGCCCCTGAGTTACTACGCTGACCACAGCTTTGAAATAAGATCACAGCTTTGAAATAAGCTGAGGGACACGACTGCATGTTGTCTCTGTGTTCCAAGTCCAGGGGAGGGAATGGGGTAAAAATATATCCACTCATTTCAAGCTTACATTTGTGTGGGGGGGGGTGGAGGAGGAAAACAATAACTAGAACATATGTAGTGTGATCAGGAAGAATGCTTTGAGGAGAGTTGTAGACATCCAGGGTGGCAAGAGAAGAGTCCACCATCACATTAAAGACAAAACACATGCACATGTGAGGGAAAAGAGTTCCAAGTAGAGAGAAAAGCTTTCAGGCATAGCTGTGTGTTCCAGGAAGCACAGGGAGGCCAGAAACCAAAGCAGAGGGAGAGGAGAGAGCCCGATGAGGTCAGAGAGGAGATGGAGCCAAGTATCTTGGGACACTGTAATCACTTAGGCTTCCTCTTGGGGAAGGATGGAGGAGCAGGTGTTTGAATTCTGGAGTAATGTAACTTATACTGTGATAGGATCACTTGGGCTGAGACTAGGCTACAACAGATGGAAAGACCTAGAAACTGGGCAGCTGGAGGTTCTTGGGGTGATTCAGTGAGAAGTAGTGGTGGTGTGGATCAGATGGTAGCAGAAGAGGATGAGATCATGTTTTAAAAATGATGTTGACAGGGTTTGTGATGATTAGATAAGGAGTTGGGGAGAAAAAGAAAGGGAAAATGACTACATTTCTGGTCAGAGTGAAGACTATAGAAGGGAGAGGTTTTGGAGCAATTAGTAATTTGGCCACGAGGTGGTGGTGGTTTTTTTGTTTTTTTTTTGGTACTGGGGATCCAACTCAGGACCTTGCACCTGCCAGGCAGGCACTTATCCCACTGAGCTATCTCCCCAGCCCAAGGTGGTGGCGTTGTTGAGCTCACAATGGATTCAGGAGACTGAAGTGCAGGGAAAAGTTCATGGGTGGAGATAGAAATATGGGGGTCACAGTGTGACATGGGAGGCTGTACAGATGCAAGTGAAAGCCTCAGGACTGGGAAGACCACCAAACAGATGAGAAAGATGGGAATGCCATGTGGGCGAAAAGCTGCCTCTGCGCCTGCCCAGCTGGTAGGCATCAGGAAGGTGCAGAACAACCAACATGAACCTGAGCAGAAGTGGCCGTGAAGGAGGAGGGAAAAACAGAAGAGTGTGCTTTCTGGAAGCCATGACAAGAATGTTTCACAAGGCACTCACCAGGGAAGACCAAAGACTTCCGATAATGGGGTTGAAAACTGCAGTGGACTGAATGTTTGTGTCCTCCCCAGATTCATAGGTTGAAAAGCTGCACATCAAAGGGAGGATATTTGGGGAAGTAGTAAGTTTGTGAGGGCAGGCCCTCATGAATGGGTGTGGTGCTTTGGTAGGAAGATACAGGAACACTTGCTTTGTCTCCCGGCTCTGGCATGGGAAGAAGACAGCCATCCATGCATCAAGAAGAGAGCCCTTACCTTATGGGGAGAAACTGCTGGCACCTTGATCTCACTTTCCAGATTCCAAAGTGTGGGCAGTAAATGTCAGTTGTGTGTCACCCAGTCTAAGAGGTCTGCACTGAGGCCAGACCTGGCTTTTGTGTCAGCAGCACGGAGATGCTGGACCAGGAGCAGCCTTAGTAGCGTCGTGGAGCAGCCAAAGGGCCAATGAAGGTTCAAAAGACAACCAGAAGATAGAAATTACAGGCAGGAGACGGGCCATTCTTACAGTTTTGGGGTAAACGAATGAAAAGAAGTTGGTAAGTGGAGGGAGAGGAAGGATCAACAAACGTTGTGTGTGTGTGTGTGTGTTGCTCATTGTAAAGGTCCAGTAGAACTTCCTGGCAGAACAAGGCAAAAAATTGACAATGAGAAAAGCGAGCGGAGTGTCCCCTGGCACTATGTCCACAAGACAAGGCCCTTAATCTTCTGCTAGGTCCTGTATCAATGGAGAAATGTATGGTGTGGGAAGCGCTGGAGTTATGCCTCACACACCTAATGCCCAAAGTTTTTTTTTTTTTTTTAAGGTACAAATAATGATGTTAGGTACTACGCAGCATACAGCCCCCTAGTCTGTCCTCTTCAGGCCCCAGGCCCCTGCTCTCCTCCCTGGAAGCCACGAACTAAAGCAGCTTCGTTCTGCCGTGTCCTTCTGCCTCAACGTTCCTGCCTTGCTGCCTGCTGAGGGAGCCTGTGTCTAGTACTGTGTCCGGCAACTGGAGAGCTGACAAATACAATCTGCCAGAATGAGGTCCGGCAGCACTTTTAGTTAGTGGGAAGCAGCTGTGTTAAGGAGGCTCTCATTATCATCACTGCTGTCATCAAATAGTAATAACTGGCAATTAAGTGCCTAATTTCTTGTAGCACCTCATAAGTTAAAATAAAGGGCTTTGCTCCCCACGTGGCTGGTTGGATGGAAGGCAGTAGGATAAAGAGGTCGGAAGGTCAAAGACAGAGAGAGACAGGCTTGGAGGTAAGGCAGAAGTCTTTTGCCAAACCACTCCACCCTAGTTCCCGATTTTCATCCCTCTGTCCAAGTTTTGGACGATCTTTTCCCTCCAGGTTTTTGCTCCTTGACCTCTGTGCCCTCTTTTTTCTTCTGCTGTCCGCCCTTGGTGCAAGGCTGGTTCTGGGGCGCAGCCGGGGTCCCCACCCCGCTGCCTGGGCGCTCGGGAAGCGGAGGAGAGCGCTTAAACTCCGGTGGGGCAGAAGCCAGCATTCTGAGCATGTGCGGACGAACTTGGGGGCTGGGGCGGAATTCCGGAGCGCATCCCAGGTCCCCGACGCCGGAGCCCGACAGGCTCGGTAGCGCCGCGCGGAGCGAGGCCGCCCCTGCCCCAGGATCGCGGCGGCGCCCTGCCCTCCGGCGCCCGGAGCTGGCCGCGTGTGCCGGGCTGCCTGACGCGGGCTCGAGCCAATCAGGGCGAGCGGCCCGGGCTGCCATGTGACGGGCGAGGCGGCCCCTTTCTCAGCGCGGCCAGAGGGAGGAGAGAACCGGGCTTCGCCGCGAGACTTGGAGAGCAGCGGCCGCGGAGGAAGCGGCAGCGGCCGGCGCGAGCGGCGGCACAGGCTCCGGGGCAGCCCGGCGCGCATCCCCGGTCGGCGCCCTGCGCGGAGCATAGCTCGGCGGGCCTCGGGAGCCACAGGGCAGCAGTGTCCAAAGCAAGATGGCAGGGATCTTAGCCTGGTTCTGGAACGAGAGGTTTTGGCTTCCGCACAATGTCACCTGGGCGGACCTGAAGAACACGGAGGAAGCCACCTTCCCGCAGGCTGAGGACCTCTACCTCGCCTTCCCCCTGGCCTTCTGCATCTTCATGGTGCGGCTCATCTTCGAGAGGTAAGAAGGGCCGGAGCACCGTCTCCCCTCCCCCTGCGCGCACACGCACACGCGCGCACACACACCCCACTCCCGCGCACACGCACACTCGCGTGCTCCGTGGCGCACGCCCCCGCGACCCCCGCGCTCGCTCACAACTCCCAACCTTTGTTCGGGGGAGGGGCTGATGTCCGGTCTGCTTCGAGCGCCCGGAGCGCCCCGAGCGCGGGGACGCCCCGCGCTGGCCTCCTCTGTCGGCTCTGCGCTCCTCGAACAAAGGTGAGCGCGGCCGCGGGACGCTGGCACCCGGCGGGCTCAGCCCCTCTCCATCGGCGCCCGGGCTGGGCTTCCCTGCCGGGCTGGCCGCCACCCACTTGACCGCGGGACCGTTCGGGACCGGCCGGAGGAAGGAGCGGCCGCGCACGCTTCTGCTCTCTACTGCTTGGCGTCTTGATTGTTGGGACGGTGCTGCAGAGGAATTCACCAGGGACTTTGGTGCTTGTGGTCGCTTTTTGGTTTCCATCTGTCACTGAGCATCAGGCCCACAATCTTGGGAAATAGTTGACTGTAGCACTCCACGTCACTAGCGTGGTTTGTTTAACAGAGGTTAAGGATGGGTGCACATCCTGCAGAATGATCGTACAAAGTCGGTAGTTGGGCCCTGAAAATAATCATAAACTTATTTTGGGTGCCAGAACATACTTAAAACGATTTAGAGAATTGTCCTGTAATTTTTGGTTTATTTCCTCAGTTTCGTTACTATTGCCATTGTATCACGAACACACTTGTATCACTGTTATTGAACCAACATTAGTTTAAACTAGATTTTGACTCTGGGTGCCTCAGTATTGAAACAAAACTGACATAGCATTACACACTTCTTTTTCTTAACTGAAAACATCACCTTCCCCTTTTTTCTCCCTCTTCCACATTCATCAGGAAAGGCAGAAATTCTTCCATCGCAGATTCACACCCCTGGGCTTTGGAGGTGTAGCTCAGTAGTAGAGCGGCTGCTTAGTGTTTGGGAAGCTCTGTGTTCGATTCCCAGCACTCTAAAACAAAACTCAGAAAGAAACACTTACCCTTCACCTCTCTTCTTGCCCCCAACTCACCTTGGTTTTGTTTCTTAAGCTTTTGCACCATTACCTTGTTGCTGCTTCCTATTACTATTGGAGATGGCAGATTATATCTTTTGTATGATTTGTTACTGGAAATGGCAACAAAGCTCACAGGAACAAAACTGTACTGTTTAAGGAAGATGTATTTTTCGGTGGATAGTATTGTTGCTGAAGAAAGTCAGTTGAACTACTGAAATTGACAGGCACAAAGGAACAGACTAAAAGACCCACTTAAATGATTGAGGTCCAATACAGATGTCATTGAGCCTATCCACTGCTCATGAAGTGAAAAAGTGGGTGTGTTGGCAGGCTTAGAGTTGCTCTAGAACAAATGTTTACTTACAGAAAATAGGAAGTCTTGTCTCATCTTGCAGTCTTTCCAAAGACAAACATGTGCCCTCTTAGGAACAGCAGGTTGCGCTGCGTGGACATGTAGCACAGGTCACGTGTTGAATGCTAGCTGATAAGTGTTGCCCCATACATTCTGGCCAGATCCACTTTCAGGAAGCTCATGCATTCGAAGGCAGGCTGCAGTCTTTATCTTTTGAAGGACTGCTGTAGAATTCCAAAAGCCCGGGAGCTGGAAAACTATGCAGAGTGCTGCATTTGCCTGGCATTCCTTCCATACTGGTGCTGGGCTGTTCTCTGGGTTAGGAAACAAATGGTAAGAACTGAGATAGCTTTATAATCTCTCTCTGCCTTAACAAAACAAAGCAAAGCAAAACAAATACTGATGTAGTAATCGAAGATTGGAGGTTCAGTTTTCTTCCTTTGCATGATCCTATGGCTTGACTTGCTGTTCTCAACTGTTAGGCATAGCAGGTGCCTCACGTGGATAGATACAGACTTGGTTTCTTTCAGGCTGTTGATCCAAGTAGAAGGCATTTAATGGCTTGTATGGAAAATGGTAGTTAATGATTAATGTTTGGAATAATAATCCAATGAGGCACATACACCATAGGGTGCTCCTGCTTTTGGAAGAGTGTCTACTTTGTGTCTTCGTGTATTAGCAATTCAGACTCTTGAGTCTCTGAAAATCTCGGTATAGTTGTGCCCAGTTAGAAATTCTGCATGATTCTCTTCTCAAACCTAAATGACACAGGTGAGGATCCAGGCTGTGGCCTAATCTCAGTTCCTCAAGGGTCAAGTCAGTGTAGCTACATCAGCCAATATTGTTATTAGAAATCCCACTTAAAGCACTTTGAATATGATCACAAATCATTTTCTTTTGCTGTGTTCTCTAACAGTCAACATTATTTAAACATGCCTATTGCGATCCCTCTGTAAAATGAAAAGCTTTTGTAATAGGAATAATTCCTTCAAAATTTTGTTTGATGCTTCTTGTCATTTATTTCAAAGCTGAAACATACTAAGAAATAGTGTGATCATCCAAGATCTTCGTTTTCCATGAAGTGAGGCCAGTGATACCTTTGTTGAGGTGTAAGTTGTAGATTTGGATGCCTTCTCCTTAGTCTTGTATGTTTTTCTCTCTACAGAAAAACACTAATGAGTTGAGTAGTTGGGCTTTGCCAGGGGAATAGCCCTGCCTTTTCCTTTTGACTCCTGCTGTTGGGGCATTGCCAGCAGAGGCACTAGAGGCCAGAACATGCCACTTAGAGCAGCATATGGGCAGTGGGGTGGGAGCCCAGCGTGGCTGGTTAAAAATGGAGCAGCCTAAGGTCACTAACTCTTGTGGCTGGCTGTGAATAGCCCGGATCTTAGAGATTTTTATTTCCGTTTATTCATCTGTATTTGTATTAGTACATGTTTGCAGTGCGAGTGATTACATTCATCCTGAGGAGCTGATACTGGTACATAACACACCTTAATCCTTGGTGGTTTTTAGCATAGCCTTTGCACTACATTTGCCTCTGGGTAGGGACTGCTATAGATACCACTTGATTGATAGTAAGAGATCTGTTGTTTTAAGAAAAACTAGATAGTTGCTCTTAGAATGAAAGTTGAAGTGCATGTCATTATATGAAATTGTTGACTTGATGACAGTACTAAATTTATGATTTAATAATGCAACATTATCATCCAATTAATTTTTTGATTTAGTGCATGTTTAGGCTGAGGAAATCATTCTTAGGAATTGTGCAATAAATGCTTTCTCCAATTTCACTTTTACAAAAAGATGTTTGACTGTGGTATTCATATATGTGGAATTTTGTTGAGTCTCTGTTTGGGAAGAGAAATTCTTTTATGTTATTGTTATCAAAGGTAACTTTTAATGTACTTCCTTTTTTGTGGACTTTGAAGAGAGTGATGCAAAAAGTATTGATTGGGAATCAGAACACTCAAATTCTGGTCAAAACCAACCTCATGCTAGGCAGCCTCCTAATTTATCTCTGCTTATTTTCTCATTTATATGGTGAATCAAATGGCCATCATAATCTAAGGTGGTTTTCCCTCCTGTGTCCCCGATCCCTGTAGGTCCTGGGTATTTGAAGGTTACAAATTACTATCTCATGAGACTTTGAAACACATTAAATATCACATTTGGGCTGGCAGAAATAAACTCTCAGGATAAGGAGGTTTTTAAAAAAAATTTCCATAGACACATACTAGCCAGTGGTTTTGTTTTGAGAATTTTAATTAATTTTTTTTTTTTTTTTTGTGGAACCGGGGATTGAACTCAGGCCCTTGCGCTTGCCCAGGGAAGTGCTTATTTCACTGAACCATCTCCCCAGCCCCTGTTTTGAGTATTTTAAAATGAGTTTTGAGTCAAAAGAATCATTTGGGCTGTTATCCTAGGTGCTCCAAAAAGTTACAGTATCTCAGAATAATTGACTATAAAGATTATTGAAAGAAAGCAGTTGCTTCCTTTCCTCCGACCTCTTTTTGGTGGAACCCAAAGTAGGCCTGACACCTGCCTGGGCAGGTAGTGAATAGTTCATTTCTGACAGGGTGACTCTGAAGCTACCAAGCTGTGTGAGGAGTGTCATACTTCAAGGGCTTGACACGAGCCCATCCTGGGGCATTCAACTCCAGAATGATCTGCTGTCCCCCATCCTTGAAGAACAGCATTGCCTTGTGTTAGAGGAAATGTCTGGCCAGTGAGCTTTTTAGGGTTTACTGCTTGCCTTTGAGGGGAAGGGGAAGGGAGACAGGGAAGTAGGAAGAGAGAAGGGGAGATGAATGGGGTGAGGGGGGATTATCAGGTAAAGTTCGTTTCTGAAGGATGTTCCTATAATACAATAAAGAGACCATTGTTCTCAGATATATTTCAAAAGTGTTTGGTACAATTTGCAAACAGACATGACTTTCTCATGCAGTTAGCCCTGTATACTAATCTTTATACATGCTCTTAGTTAGATTTTTAAGTGATGGTAAGATTTAGATTGAAACAGTGGATACCTGCTCTTATAGAGATTGGTTTAAGAGACAAAGAGTTTGGCCTACAGAGGAATAGGTTGCCTCCTACAGATTCTGGCTGGGCTAAAAAAATGGATTAAAAAATAGATGTCTTGTTGGAAAACAACCTAAAATGAAAGTGGTGGTAGGAAAAAGAAAAAGAAAAGAAAGAAAGAAAGAAAAAGAAAGAAAGAAAGAAAAAGTGGTGGTAGTCTTTGCAGAACTTTAGCACAACTTTTTTTAAAAGTTTTTTTTTTTTAAATTTATGTATTTGGTACAGGGTCTTGCTATGCAGCTTGGCATGCAGTACCAGAGATCGAACTTGGGCCCTTTGCGCTTGCCAGGCAGGTTAGACCACTGAGCTACCTCCCCAGTCCTGGCACAACTTTTTCATGTAGCAAAATAAAAGTTTTGCATCTGCAGGGTGCAATAGTGTAGATATTTGTAGTAGGTTGCTTTGTGGGTAAAAGGGCGTAACTACTTTTAATGAACATCAGTGCCTTAATGTGGTGGAAGAGGTCAGCATGACAACTTAATGACATTATT